GACCCGCCCTAAGCCTGCCTATGTGTGGGCGGATGTGGACACTTGGGCTTCAGCATCCATATTGATGATGCGCTCGCGCATGCGCAGTAGTCACACGGTAGTGTGTGACGTCATTCGCGCATGCGCAGTATCCCGGAGCGGCGCGTGATGCGCATGCGCGGCCGCAGGTATTTCAGTTTTGGCGTCTAGGGTCAGGATTCACCCCTTTGAAAACGAGCTTTAGCTCGAAACATGTTAGGGGATCCACCCTATTGACGCCTTGGTATTGGGGAACCACTAGCCACCAGGGAATACCTTCACCAGACCTGGATGAGTATCTTTTTGTCATCACATAAAATTTAAACTTTATATGTTTATGCTGATGATACCACTAGCCACCAGGGACTTATCTATTGGACCTGGAGGTGTATATTTTTTTGCATGCTGACTGAACTACTAGCGACCAGGGAACCTATCTATTGGGCCTGGATGTATGCTTTATCGATGTGAGTTGTTGCTGTTTTAGCTCACTTTTTATGCTCTTAATAAACGTACTTCACTATTAGCACTTTCTTGCCTCCCAGCTCGTTTGTTAATGAGCTTTGTAAGGTGGCGATTTGGAGTTGAGAGCCAGAGGGAGCCTGGACAGCGTTGGACCTGTGACCCAGATGTCCTCATATGACCAGATGTTGCCCAGGCTGCTGACCAGACCGTGACGCCCAGTTATTTGCATACAATGCTTACATTGTGTGTACTTGTGGTAAGCGCACAACCTCACTAAATTCTTTTCTTATTCTACTGAATGGGATTTGGAAACACCATTGGATCATATCCAGCTTTCTTTTTGCTACACTATATGAACTATTGAACTTTTACTATATATGGTGACACCCTCCTTGCTTGTTATTCATTCCTTAGCGCTACATACCCCATTTACATTTTTATATTCCAAGGTATTGAGGATTACCCTGTATGTTAGCTGCTCACCTGATCTGTTTTGCGCTCACTTACCCACCCTTTATTTATACAAGAAACGTTTGGTTGAGGTTATTGCTGCCAAAGGAGGGTCAACCAGTTATTAAGTCCAAAGGTTCACATACTTTTTCCTCCCTGCACTGTGAATGTTTACATGTTATGTGCAATTAAACCATGGCAACATCTAATGTTTGTGTAGTATTATGTTCAGCAGACTGTGTTCTTCTATTGTGACTTAGATGACATTCAGAGCACATTTTATGCCCAATTCATGCAAAACTCCACGTAATCCCAAGGGGTTCACATACTTTTTCTTGCAACTGTAAATGCTGTTCCCTACTAATACATAATGAGATTTAGATACGCTAACCAATGGAAGCCAAACTCCAGCTAACACTGCAGTTACAGTAACATCGTATATTTTCCTTATGAAAAAAAAAAAGTAGATAAAAGCTAAACATAGTTTGTCTCAACACTAACTGCTACATCAGCAGGACAGGTTGTTCTGTTGAAAAACAATAGACTTACTGGCTAAATCACCAAAAAAAAATAAAGGAAAGAACGCCAGTGTTGAAGGGTGGGAACTGTGACATACAGTGGGGCAAAAAAGTATTTAGTCAGCCACCAATTGTGCAAGTTCTCCCACTTAAAAAGATGAGAGAGGCCTGTAATTGGCATCATAGGTAGATCTCAACTATGAGAGACAAAATGAGAAAAAAAATCCAGACAATCACATTGGCTGATTTGGAAAGAATTTATTTGCAAATTATGGTGGAAAATAAGTATTTGGTCACCTACCAACAAGCAAGATTTCCGGCTCTCACAGACCTGTACCTTCTTCTTTAAGAGGCTCCTCTGTCCTACACTCATTACCTGTATCAATGGCACCTGTTTGAACTTGTTATCAGTATAAAAGACACCTGTCCACAACCTCAAACAGTCACACTCCAAACTCCACTATGGTGAAGACCAAAGAGCTGTCGAAAGACACCAGAAACAAAATTGTAGACCTGCACCGGGCTGGGAAGACTGAATCTGCAATAGGCAAGCAGCTTGGTGTGAACAAATCAACTGTGGGAGCAATAACACTGTTCAACAGGTAAAAAGTTTTGGGCATAAATTTAGCTAATCTTACATAATTTTGGGGTGCTGAAAACGAAAATGACCCTAAAAAATGTTGATTGGCTCTAGTTTCCATGATATATTCACCCATCTAATGACGTAAGCCATTCAAAATTATGATGCAACTTCAGCTGCATATTGCGCAATTGATACTGGTGACCAATAGAAAATTGCATGTATACTGAGATGATGCAATATTAGCCTTTAATTGCATCACTTCACTGCATAAAAGCTGCAGTATCTGTAGCTGATTGTAGTTCGACAGCGTCTTTACATTTCGTTTTATGCTTATATAGGCTACTCAGTAATGCCTCGAACTTGTGTGAATAAAGCAGATAATTTCTGCTATATCTGCAGTGAAATAACTTTTATCTCACAAAAAAGGAGGATAACAGGAATGATTAAGAAAGCCTACAACTTGTATTTTGGCTGCAAGATAGGAGACCAGGACAAGAGCTGGGCACCACATATATGCTGCAATTCTTGTGGGACGGCACTGGAGCAATGGTTGAATGGAAAAAAGGCATCTATGCCTTTCGCTGTGCCAATGATTTGGAGAGAGCCAACAGATAATGTTAGTAATTGTTACTTTTGTATGGTGCCTCCAATTGTAAAAGGGCTAAATAAGAAGAAAAAGTTATCTGTGCACTATCCAAATATTCCATCGGCAATACGTCCAGTTCCTCATGGAGAGGGGCTACCCAATTCCTAAAGCACCAGAATCCTTCGTGGTTGAGTCAAGTGAGGAAGAACCTGAAGCGTGTAGTCACATGCAGTTGTAAGAGATAGCCCTTTCCTCGAATACAAGAGAAAAGCCAAGAGAAGCAAAACCGACACAAACTGAAGACAAAACTAGTGAGAATCCTAAGTATTAAAATGATTCAACTTAGCTTATGGCTATAATTTTTCTTGGTAATCCTATGCAATATATTATGCCATTTAGGCTTTGTTATGTAGTCAATATCACTTGCTTTATATTTGTGGAAAGACATCTATCTGTATAATTATTGTGCATTATATAGTCATTACGCCTATAGTAGAAAACTTTCCGTTTACAGAAAAACTAGAGCCAATTGACAAATTTCATTGTTATATTTGAACTCAGAATGTGAAATTCATTAAGAAATGGATCCTTTTGTTTCCAAAACTGGCAAAAAATAAAAATTTGTTGAACAGTGTAATTAGAAAATGGAAGACATACAAGACCACTGATAATCTCCCTCGATCTGGGGCTCCACGCAAGATCTCCCCCCGTGGGGTCAAAATGATCACAAGAACGGTGAGCAAAAATCCCAGGACCACACGGGGGGGGGGGGACCTAGTGAATGACCTGCAGAGAGCTGGGACCAACGTAACAAAGGCTACCATCAGTAACACACTACGCCGCCAGGGACTCAGATCCTGCAGTGCCAGACGTGTCCCTGCTTAAGCCAGTACATGTCCGGGCCCGTCTGAAGTTTGCTAGAGAGCATTTGGATGATCCAGAAGAGGATTGGGAGAATGTCATATGGTCAGATGAAACCAAAATAGAACTGTTTGGTAGAAACACAACTCGTCATGTTTGGAGGAGAGAGAATGCTGAGTTGCATCCAAAGAACACCATACCTACTGTGAAGCATGGGGGTAGCAACATCATGCTTTGGGGCTGTTTCTCCACAAAGGGACCAGGATGACTGATCCATGTACAGGACAGAATGAATGGGGCCATGTATCGGAGATTTTGAGTGCAAACCTCCTTCCATCAGCAAGGACATTGCAGATGAAACGTGGCTGGGTCTTCCAACATGACAATGATCCCAAACATACAGCCCGGGCAACGAAAGAGTGGCTTCGTAAGAAGCATTTCAAGGTCCTGGAGTGGCCTAGCCAGTCTCCAGATCTCAACCCCATAGAAAACCTTTGGAGTGAGTTGAAAGTCCGTGTTGCCCAGCGACAGCCCCAAAACATCACTGCTCTAGAGGAGATCTGCATGGAGGAATGGGCCAACATACCAGCAACAGTGTGTGCCAACCTTGTGAAGACTTACAGGAAACGTTTGACCTCTGTCATTGCCAACAAAGGATATATAACAAAGTATTGAGATGAACTTTTCATATTGACCAAATACTTATTTTCCACCATAATTTGCAAATAAATTCTTTCCAAATCAGCCAATGTGATTGTCTGGATTTGTTTTCTCATTTTGTCTCTCATAGTTGAGGTCTACCTATGATGCCAATTACAGGCCTCTCTCATCTTTTTAAGTGGGAGAACTTGCACAAATGGTGGCTGACTATACTTTTTTGCCCCACTGTATATACTTGCTAGCAGTTTAATATCCAACAGAGTCACTTTAATACATGAGGCATTTACTATCTGATCCACTGTAGCCAGATTCCAACAATCTTATCATATGTGAGGGGGAGACTTACTTCATGTATTAAAGTGCCAGGACAAGGAATTAAGTTATTGGTTTCCAATTTCACAAGGTAGCTTTAAAATCAACTTTTGGCTGTGACACATTTCTTAATACATCTTGCTTTCTGAATGCACACAACATATACAATCTTAAAGCAGAACTTCACATAAAACTGGAAGTTTTGTTTTACTCTTCCTCCTCCCTTTGCTGTTAATGGAATTTTGTTTTTCTCCAAGGAGTGGGTACCTAGTTTTGACAGGTACCTGCTTATGCTTTTGCTTGGAACACTTGGGCATTTTGAATGGAAGTTTGCCTCCCCTTCCTCCCTGCAACCTCCCGGGACATGTAAAAAAAAAAAAAAAAAGGCTGTGGGTCTATTCAGAAAGCGCAGCATGACTTACACATGCACAGTGGGGAAGCAGCTGTGAGCTTGTATAAAGTCACAGCCAGATTCACATGGAGTATAGCATTTGTAGCTGTTGATTTTTAATATTTCTTCAAAACGGCTGAAGTTCCTCTTCAACTCTTAACTAAAGGTACCTACCTCCACTACAGAGTTGTGACTTAGCTTCCACTTGTTTCCTGGTAGCACAGGCCGACCATCAATGTACAGAGCTCGTCTGCCCTCATTTGCTATGAAAAAGTCTCCATTGTTTTTTAGTTTGATGACACCTTAATTCCAAAGAAAAAAATATTATAGAACAAACATTTTTCTCAACCATCAGGAGAAAACGAATACAACATTACGTCAGAATCCAAATAGGTAATATTTTGTAAATGGCATACTGTAACAGCTTAAGGAATATTATATAACTGTAAACCTACATGCCCAGCTTTTATATCATCCTACATAGCAACAGTCACAGCATATGCCAATTTCGTTATAGAAAGGGCATTAATCCACAGCGTAGTTGTCGTTTACTAACCCTGCTTACGGGAAATCTTCCAAGCTGGGCCTTCCAGTGACAGATCCACATCGATTTGGTTGTCCTTTGTGGCTCTCCCAAGTGTTATCTAGTAAGAAAAATAAACATTTGTTTTACACAGCTACAGAAATGCAGACAGTGTACAAGAAAACACAGGTCTAAAGTTTTGCTTAAAGGTAGTTATGTTACCTCCCGGGATCTCATCAAATACCGCACCATGCGCCCCCGTAACACTGCCAGTGTCTGAGTGTCAAAGTCTGGAGAGCTCATTCCTAGAAAAAACAGATCGCGGTTTAGCCAATGACTATACAGAAGCTTTATACATCTGTAGTTTATGCTGTAAAAAGCACACTGGGGAAAAAAAAAAAAAAAATTATTAAAATACATACACACAATTATTTGATCTGCAGATTTTGTAAGTTTGCTGACTTACAAAGAAATGAAGGGTCTATAATATTTATCATAGGTATTTTTTAAATGATAGAATATCAATAACCAAGAATCCAGAAAAAAAACACATGATACAAGTGTTATAAATTGAGTTGTAGTTAAATGAGTAAAATAAGTATTTGATCCCCTACCAACCAACAATAATTCTGGCTCTCACAGACAGGCTCATGTGGTACACAGATTAGTCCTGTCAATTTAAGAGGGTGCTCCTAACGACAGCTTGTTATGTGTCAAAAGTCACCAGTCCACAGAATTTTTTTTCTTCCATTCAAACCTCGCCACCATGGACAAATGATGTCAGGGACATCAGGGACAAGATTGAGCTGCAAAAGGCTGGAATGGGTTACAAAGACCATCAGCAAGAAGCTTGGTGAGATGGAGACAACTGTTGGAGCGATTATTTGCAAATGGAAGAAATGCAAAAAAACCATCAATTGCCCTCAGTCTGGAACTCCATGCAAGATTTTGCCTCATTGGGTAAGGATGATCATGAGAAAAGCGAGATATCAGCCCAGAACTACACAGGAGGAGCTTGTGAATGATCTCAAGGCAGTTGGGACCAGAGCCACCAAACAAACCATTGGTAAAACAATAAGTCGCCATGGACTGAAATCCTGCAGCGCCCGCAAGGTCCCCCTCCTCAAGAAGGCACATGTACAGGCCCCCTCTGAAGCTTGCCAATGAATATCTAAATGATTCGGAGAAGTATTGGGAGAAAATGCTGTGGTCAGATGAGACCAAAATTGAGCTCTTTGGCATTAAATTGACTCACCGTATTTGGAGGAAGAAAAAATACTGACTATGACCCTAAGAACACCATCCCTACAGTCAAGCACAGAGGTGGATATATTATGCTTTGGAGCTTTTTCTCTGCTAAAAAGGTACAGGCGGACTTTGCGGCATTGAGGGACCAAGTACTGTAAAATCTTGGATGAGAAACTTCTTCCATCTGCCAGATGGGTCATGGATGGGACTTCCAGCATGACAATGACCCAAACATACCGCCAAAGCAACAAAAGAATGGCTCAAAAATAAGCACATTGAAAGGTCCTGGAGTGGCCTAACCAGTCTCCAGACCTTAATCCTACAGAAAATTTATGGAGGGAGCTGAAACTTCAAGCTGCCAAGCGACAGCTAAGAAACCTTAAGGATTTAGAGAAGATCTGTAGAGAAGAGTGGAACAAAATCCCTTCTGAGATGTGTACAAACCTGGTAACCAACTACAAGAAACATCTTACATCTGTGCATGCCAACAAGGGTTTCTTCACCAAGTACTAAGTCAGGTTTTGCTTGGGGATCAAATACTTATTTTACTCACTGAACTGCAACTCAGTTTATAACATTTGAATCATGTGTTTTTCTGGATTTTTAGTTGATATTCATCATTTAAAATGCACCTATGATAAAATGGGCCAACTTAGAAAATCTGCAGGGGATCAGATAATTATTTTCCTTGCTGTATATAAATAATGTTACCAGCTACTGGATTAGTAATTCAGTCTAATATAAAACAACGCTGCTGGACAACACATTCAAGAAAACTTCTCTCTACCACAGTAAAGTAAAAACTTCAGAAAAGAAAAAAAAAAAAAAAGAAAAGAAAGCACTTGGACCTGGTGCAATAAACACATTTACTAAAAAACATAAAAACCCAGTAGTATTGCACTCATAGATCAACACAAGGAGAGCTTGGAAATAACCGGTACACAGGGAGGGATAAGCAATCACTAGGCTTAGCAGATCATGCAAGATGTCACAGTCCACTCCTTCATTTCCAATTACCAATCAAGTCAGGAGCTCTGTGCAACCAGATGGCAAGATCCTGGCTTAATATCGTGTCTGCTCTCTTCTTGTATAAGGTGGTAACCCAGCAAACACTGAGGGTGTGTCCCCCTTTGTCAAGCCTTGAGACGATACCAAGCTGGGCTCTTTATGCTGGTTTTGGGATGCATCACTTGATGGGCTCCTTTGTCCTCCTGAACCCAAAAGGTCTTTGGACCAAAAATATATGAACAAAATTCCTGCAAGAGGTCCTGTATGCTCTTCCACAAATTGCATGCTGTGAGTTGGACTGCCTGCTTTGATGTCCTCCAGAAACGACAGTATCTCTAAAAGTAAACAAACTTCTTCCCTTATAAAAAAAATAAATACATTTCTAAAAACACAAGAATTATTAGGCAAAAAGGAAAACCAAAAAAAAAAAAAAAAAAAAAAAAAGGATTACCCAAATTCTTTACCTTTGACTCCTATTCTTGAAAGTGTCTGCCAATGGCTGGTGCAGAAGGTTTTCAGTTCTAGCTAGTTTTTTCTACTCAACAGGTAGAGGTTTACATTGTGTTCATTTTTCTATTAAGGAAAACACACACACACACACACACACACACAATATTAACGGCTCACCAGTAATGCTGTCCACAAGAACCTGCCACCGATGCAGCTCTTGCTCCAGCTGACGGATTTCTCTTTTCTGACGACGGTCTGCTACAGTCAGCTCTGAAATAGCAACAGATCAACATTTAGCTAAAATGTGGGTAGGTAAAAGCAGCACCAGTTGAAAGAGCCAATATCACTCACCATGTTCTAGGACTTCATCTCGGGTGTCTCTATAATGATAAAACAACGCAGTTTTTACAGAATACCAAGAGAGTACATGATGTACTAAGGGTTAGCATACACAATTGCCTGAGCTGACAGTATAATAAAAAATAGACAAAACCTAAACTAAAACAATCTGTATTAATTCAAGTGAGTGTAGTTGAGCTGTAACAAATTTCACCAATACAAATATTCTCCAACCTAAGTTTGGTGTCATCTAGCATATCTTCTGCATCAGAAAAATTTAGCACTTGATCTCCTTTGGGTAATGGTTGAACTAGAACAGTAAACGAAAAAAAAAACAGATTATTTCTGGGTCAGCAGAAAATTATATATTTGTTACACTGATAGGAACACGGCTTAATTACCAGTCTGGTCCTCCAGAAGATAGTATTGCTTCATAAGCTGCCAATGGACCTGCAGAGACTTCGCTGTACGTGACATATAGAAAACATCTGGATGTTTGGTCAATAAATCCTGAAATGTCTCCAGTGTAGGCTGTGAGCTCTATAAAGAAAACTCAATTTGGTACACCAAAAAAGCTTTCGTTTCAATGTCAATACTTTGCATACACCTTTAGTACTTACAGAGCTCACTGTACTCAGCAACTGCTCTTCTGCTTTACTGAACAAAACCTTGCTCTGGATCGCAGCAATAGCTTCTGGGTGTAACTGTCGGATAGCCTGACATGCCAGTCTAGAAAGTACAAAGATTCAGGCTGGTTATGTAAATTGTAAAACCTCTGAACAAAAGGATAAATCTACAGTGGATATAAAAAGTCTACACACCCCTGATAAAATGTGAGGTTTCTGTGATGAAAAAAAAAAGGGGCAAAAATAAATAATTTCAGAATATTTTCCACCTTTAATGTGACCTATAAACTGTATAACTCAATTGAAAAACAAACTGAAATTTTTTTTTTTTGTTGGGGGGGGGGGGGATTAGAGTAAACATAAAAAACTAATGTGGCTGCATAAGTGTGCACACCCTCTTATAACTGGGGATGTAGCTGTGTTCAGAATTAAGCAATCACATTCAAAAACATGTTAAATAGGAGTCAGTACACACCTGTCATCATTTAAAGTGCCTCTGATTAACCCCAAATAAAAGTTCAGCTGTTCTAGTAGGTCTTTCCTGACATTTTCTTAGTCGCATCCTACAGCAAAAACCATGCTCCACAGAGAGCTTCCAAAGCATCAGAGGAATTTCATTGTTAAAAGGTATCAATCAGGAGAAGGGTACAAAAGAATTTCCAAAAGGCATTAGATATACCATGGAACACAGTGAAGACAGTCATCATCAAATGGAGATAAATATGGCGCAACAGTGACATTACCAAGAACTGGACGTCCCTTCAAAATTGATGAAACGATGAGAAGAAAACTTGTCTGGGAGGCTGCCAAGAGGCTTACAGCAACATTAAAGAAGCTGCAGGAATATCTGGCAAGTACTGGCTGTGTGGTACATGTGACAACAATCTCCCGTATTCTTCATATGTCTTACAAAGAAAAACATCCAAACCCGACTAAATTTTGCAAAAATCACATCTGAAGTCTCCCAAAAGCATGTGGGAAAATGTGTTACGGTCTGATGAAAGCAAGATTGAACTTTTTGGCCATAATTCCAAAAGATATGTTTGGCGCAAAAACAACACTGCACATCACCAAAAGAACACCATACCCACAGTGAAGCATGGTGGTGGCAGCATCATGCTTTGGGGCTGTTTTCCTATCTTTGTCTCATTTTTTTACATCACGGAAACCTGACATTTTAACAGGTTTGTGTAGACTTTTTATATCCACTGTATGAAAAATAAAAACCTTACATAATTTGATTTGTTATCAGTAGATCAAAAGATTCCCGTTACTTACTTGGAAATGACAGGGTCATAGAGCAGAGCATACCACCGCTCCTGTATTTCACTCAGTGTGAAACGACAGCTGAACTTAACGCCAAGGTGTACAGCCTGCAGATCATTAGTCTAAATACAAAATATAAAGACATTTTTAGTTAACGTTTCAGCTAGGGATGAGCTCAATGTTTGTACTGAACACTAACCCATATGGCAGGAGCTGAAAATCACCGCAATTATACATGACAGCGTCCCACTGTCAATCATTGTTAAGGGCGCTAGTAAGTGCAGTCTTTCACAAACATTGAGGTCATCAGCCGCATTCACTTGCATGGCCACATGGCACTCTTGCCCCCCTCTTTCCTGGTCTCTCTTTCAATTTTTTTTCCCAGTGTGTGAGGTACCCCCTTTAAAATTCATACTGGACTTAAAGAGTCTTTGGGGGGGGGGGGCTCTATGCATTTTTTTTCTCCATTCTTGCTGTAGGATGTGCTACAAAGAAAATAAAAAATGGTAGTCTAAATTGCCAGCAGACTTTCATTGCCAGTTTTTTTTTTTTTTAAATAAAGCACACAAACCCCTCCAAATGGGGACTGGTTTGTTTCTCTGATGGGAACACCAATTCGCAGTTAGAAAGTTTAGCCTCCCTGTATGAGAATTCGGCATTTAGGTGCGGACAGAAGATACAGGTGCGCCAACCAGCTCTGCTGCTGGAACCTGTAAAATTCAGGAATATGTATAAAATGTACAGTGTGGCCCTCCAAGTGAAAAGTCCAGGAGACCCTTGGTCTTAAAAAAAAAGTTTTAGATTTGATTTGAGTGAGTTTAGAGAAGATGATTCTCTGATGTTCTTTGGAAGTGAATTCCACAGTTTTTGGGGGCATAACAAGAGAAGGCAAGAGAACACACAGAAGACCAGCATTTGAGGAGTGGAGGTTTACGAGGTACAGTCAGGTCCATAAATATTGGGACATCAACACAATTCTAACATTTTTGGCTCTATACACCACCACAATGGATTTGAAATGAAACGAACATGATGTGCTTTAACTGCAGACTGTCCGCTTTAATTTGAGGGTATTTACATCCAAATCAGGTGAACGGTGTAGGAATTACAACAGTTTGCATATGTGCCTCCCACTTATTAAGGGACCAAAAGTAATGGGACAATTGGTTTCTCAGCTGTTTCCATGGCCAGGTGTGTGTTTTTTCCCTCATTATCCCAATTACAATGAGCAGATAAAAGGTCCAGAGTTCATTTCAAGTGTGCTATTTGCATTTGGAATCTGTTGCTGTCAACTCTCAAGATGAGATCCAAAGAGCTGTCACTATCAGTGAAGCAAGCCATCATTAGGCTGAAAAAACAAAACAAACCCATCAGAGAGATAGCAAAAACATTAGGCGTGGCCAAAACAACTGTTTGGAACATTCTTAAAAAGAAGGAACGTACCGGTGAGCTCAGCAACACCAAAAGACCCGGAAGACCACGGAAAACAACTGTGGTGGATGACCGAAGAATTCTTTCCCTGGTGAAGAAAACACCCTTCACAACAGTTGGCCAGATCAAGAACACTCTCCAGGAGGTAGGTGTATGTGTGTCAAAGTCAACAATCAAGAGAAGACTTCACCAGAGTGAATACAGAGGGTTCACCACAAGATGTAAACCATTGGTGAGCCTCAAAAACAGGAAGGCCAGATTAGAGTTTGCCAAACGACATCTAAAAAAGCCTTCAAAGTTCTGGAACAACATCTAATGGACAGATGAGACCAAGATCAACTTGTACCAGAGTGATGGGAAGAGAGAGTATGGAGAAAGGAAAGGAACTGCTCATGATCCTAAGCATACCACCTCATCAGTGAAGCATGGTGGTGGTAGTGTCATGGCGTGGGCATGTATGGCTGCCAATGGAACTGGTTCTCTTGTATTTATTGATGATGTGACTGCTGACAAATGCAGCAGGATGAATTCTGAAGTGTTTCGGGCAATATTATCTGCTCATAATCAGCCAAATGCTTCAGAACTCATTGGACGCCACTTCACAGTGCAGATGGACAATGACCCAAAGCAGACTGCAAAAGCAACCAAAGAGTTTTTTTAAGGGAAAGAAGTGGAATGTTATGCAATGGCCAAGTCAATCACCTGACCTGAATCCGATTGAGCATGCATTTCACTTGCTGAAGACAAAACTGAAGGAAAATGCCCCAAGAACAAGCAGGAACTGAAGACAGTTGCAGTAGAGGCCTGGCAGAGCATCACCAGGGATGAAACCTCAGCATCTGGTGATGTCTATGCGTTCCAGACTTCAGACTGTAATTGACTGCAAAGGATTTGCAACCAAGTATTAAAAAGTGAAAGTTTGATGTATGATTATTATTCTGTCCCATTACTTTTGGTTCCTTCATAAGTGGGAGGCACATATGCAAACTGTTGTAATTCCTACACCGTTCACCTGATTTTAGATGTAAATACCCTCAAATTAAAGCTGACAGTCTGCAGTTAAAGCACATCTTGTTCGTTTCATTTCAAATCCATTGTGGTGGTGTATAGAGCCAAAGATGTTAGAATTGTGTTGATGTCCCAATATTTATGGACCTGACTGTAGGTGGGGTGGGGTAGTACATTGATAAAAGTTCAGACAGATAATCGGTTTGCCAAGCCATGAAGACATTATAGGTTAGCCTGAGGATCTTAAAGTCTATGTGACACCTGACGGGTAGCCAGTGCAAGGACTCCAGGATAGGGATAATATGGTCACTTGTACCAGACCTAGTGAGGATTCAGACTGCAGAATTTTGTACACATTGCATCTGATTAATAGTGGATTTATGTACAACAGCGAGTAGAGCACTGCAGTAGCCAAGTCAAGAGAACACAAATGTATGTATCCGCTTATCAGCTACAGTGAATGATAGCATAGGATGCCACGAAGCAATGTTTAAAGTGGAAAAAAGATATTCTGACATTCTGTACATGTGGATCAAAAGTTAAACTGGTATCAAATATCACCCTAGATTTTCCAATGTAGACTGAAGCTCAAGTACAATGCCATTGATAGGCTACTAGGAATGCCTTACATAATTGAGGGGGCTGTCAATAAGCATGACTTCAGTCTTGTCACAGTTTAATTGAAAGAAATAGTGGGCCACCCATGTTTTTATATCACATTAGAGGATATGACAGAGTGCTATTGCATTGCCATGATCCCTTACAAAAAAAAAAAAGTACACACAGAAAAATCCCTCTACAGATTAGGACAATTATTTGGTAAATAAACAATTGTGTGCTTTCATATAGTAAAAAAGTAATTACAATAACTTTATTGGTAAAGGTTTATTAAAACCAATAACAATCATGGCAAAAAACAACTTGATTACATTTGTGAATGGCTATTAACCCCTATTATTAAGGATGCCTATATCACAGATAGAGTTAGATAGGAGAGAAGCAGCCAAAGTAGAAGCCAGTTTAGTGTGGCTGTATATATAAGAGTGTCCTCAGCATAGGAGTGATAATTGAGCCCATGTGATCTAAGCAGGTGGCCGAGTGGAAAGATTTAAATGATCAAAAGAAATGGACTCAAGAATGAGCCATGAGACAGATTCAGCGGGGTTCAGGTTTGGCATCCAAGTTTCTTTAAAGCTCCATGAACTCAGGGCAGTTCAGCTCATCACTAATGTCAACATAATGTACAATCTACAACCTATTAATTATGCAACTGTAATTAGTAATTGGTGTACATATTGTAAGTATATACTACATTGTGTACACACCATGTATTGTCACACCACAGCGCTGACAAACATATAAACAGTATAATAATAATAGTGTTGGTGTACACTACACACACGCACACACACACACACACAGATATAAAATAACACACACAGATATAAATAACACACGTATGTATGTTTATAAAGTGGTTCTAAAGGCTCAAAGTTTTTTACCTTCATGATTTCTATGCATGAAGGTAAAAATTCTTCTCTGTGCAGCAGCCCCCCCTACTACTTACTCAAGCCCCTCTCTCGATCCAGCGATGTACACTGGAGTCTCCCGGGACTCCCTTTTACCATTAGCTCAGACAGAAGCGGGAGCCATTGGCTCCCACTGCTGTCAATCACAGCCAGTGAACCAATGAGAAGAGGGGGTGGGGCTGAGCCGCAGCTCCATGTGTGAATAGACAGACGGAGCAGTGGGTGCCCCCATAGCAAGCTGCTTACTGTGGGGACACCAGACAGTAGGGAGGGGTCAGGAGAGACTGAGGGGGACCCCAGATGAGGAGGATCCGGGCTGCTCTGTGCAAAAGCAATGCACACGGCAGGTATGTATACACGTTTATTTAAAAAAAAAAAATTATATATATCTGTACAATCACTTTAAATTTAAGAATGCCTAAGATTGCAATATGCATAGTCATCTTAAGACAAAGACACACCTGTAGCACTGTGTTAATAAGTAGGAGATCATCAGCTGGTTTCCATCTTCCCAGATCCTTGGTTACTTGCAGAGGCTGCTTACTCTTCTTTATCCGCTTAGTAATGCTAGGGCTTGGAGCAGGAGATGGCGGAGCTGGAGTGGTAACAGTCTTACAAACTTGCTGAAATTATAAATGATTTAATTTCTTTTGAGAGTAAAAAAAGGTTTTTATGCAGTTTTGCGTTTACTTAAAATGGCACGCAGTGCAGGAGTTCTACAAGGGCACTGCCTTAAACAGCTACAAGTTTTCCTGTTGAGCATTAACAGACCATTCAGAGCAAATGAGCTGCTTAATGCAAGTCTAATCATATGTCAACATTTATGCCATAAAGCAATGCAATGGAACATGCAGGCATGAAGGGACTCTTGAACAATACAATTATACCCACGGTTATTACCCAATGAAGTGACTGGACTCGGTTGATACACAGAGATGAAACAAATCCTCCTACATACGCTGTACATCTAGTCTTCTCCTTTCTACATTTGTTTAATGTGCTGAATTTATAAGGCTTGAGGTTTTCAATACAGCGGTCCTCAGGAATATGGCCGCCATAGGTCCGCCCATGGATTTTGATTGGCAACTGCTTCCCCATAAAAGGAAGTATTGTTCACCAATGGCGTTACCCTGATGAAGTCACGTGTGCCGTGACGCAACGCGTAGGTGACGCAATATCCAGCATGGATGCCATCTTGGTACTCTATACGAACACATGAAAAACTACACCCATAGCATGAGGTTAAAACGCTTGTTTTCTTCTGACAAAAAGTGATTGAGAAATTGGCATTTTTATGGTTATATATGCACATTAAACAGTATTATACTATGGAGGCACTCTCTTTCATGTTCTTATTATGAATCCTGTGAGAGTTGGCTATATTACGCATACCTAAAGGGGAGCTGAAGGTGATCTAATCTTAGAGGTTAAAACGCACAATTTTTGATGTGAGTTATACCAATACTTGGAAGGATTCCATTAAGGGAAATCGTACTTGTAGGATCAAGGGGTGATCCCAAAAGCTCTTTGGCCCATTGTGTCACAGTAAGGAGGTGAAGAGACAATTCAGCTATTCTTTTGGATTCATCACCAGCAGCTGCAATGCACATCCACAGCACTACTTGCATGTTTTAAATATATGTGGAACACCGGGTTTACATGCACATGTTGCGTTGGACTTTTTTTCATTTTATATTCTATGTATATTTCAGTATACGGTTTTTGAGATCAATTTGGAATTATATATTATTTGATATATAAGAGGAGGGGATTGTGTTATTATATGCTACATGGGAAATTTTGGAGTGATTTTTTTTTTTCACTGAGCACTATTCACTATATTTAGAAAATATATCCCCCAGTGCTGGGATTACTTGTTTATATCACTTATTTTTTGATTGCTAATTTAGGATCTAATTCACTGATCCTAATTTAGGATCTGGGTATTTGTGAGCACTTTGATATACCACATTGGGTCTAATGTGAGACCACGTTTTTTTAATTTTGATTTTTTATTTGATTTTTTTCACCCACTGTTTTGTGTCACTTTCAGATCCCAGAGGGGATCAGGTCACTATGTAGTTATCACTGTGTAATTATACAGTCATGGCCGAAATTGTTGGCACCCTTGATATTTTTCCTGAAAATCAAGTATTTCACACAAAAAAGGTATTGCATTAACACATGTTTTGCTATACACATGTTTATTCCCTTTGTATGTATTGGAACAAATATAAAAACAGAGGCAGAAAAGCAAATATGACATAATGTCACACAAAACCCCAAAAATGGGCTGGACAAAAGTATTGGCACCCCTTAACTTAATATTTGGTTGCACACCCTTTGGAAAACATAACTGAAATCAGTCGCTTCCTATAACCATCAATAAGCTTCTGACACCTCTCTGTCTCACCCGGAATTTTGGACCACTCTCCCTTTGCAAACAGCTCCAGGTCTCTCTTATTGGAAGGACAAAAAACCTTTTCCCAACAGCAATTTTAAGATCTCTCCACAGGTGTTCAATGGGATTTAGATCTGGGCTCATTGCTGGGCCACTTCAGAACTCTCCAGCGCTTCTTTGCCATCCATTTCTGAGTGCTTTTGACGTATGTTTGGGGTCATTGTCCTGCTGGAAGACCCAGGATCTTGGACGCAAACCCAGCTTTCTGACACTGGGCCCTACAGTGCGACCCAAAATCCTTTGGTAATCCTCAGATTTCATGATGCCTTGCACACAGTCAAGGCACCCAGTGCCAGAGGCAGCAAAACAACCCCAAAACATCATTGAACCTCCACCATATTTTACCGTAGGTACTGTGTTTTGTTCTTTGTAGGCCTCATTCCGTTTTCGGTAAACAGTAGAATGATGTGCTTTACCGAAAAGCTCTATCTTGGTCTCATCTGTCCACAAGACGTTTTTCCAGAAGGCTTTTGGCTTACTCAAGTACATTTTGGCAAACTGTAGTCTTGCTTTTTTATGTCTCTGTGTCAGCAGTGGGGTCCTCCTGGTCCTCCTGCCATAGCGTTTCATTTCATTTAAATGTCGACGGATAGTTCGCGCTGACACTGATGCTCCCTGAGCCTGCAGGACAGCTTGAATGTCTTTGGAACATGTTTGGGGCTGCTTATCCACCATCCGGACTATTCTGCGTTGCAATCTTTCATCAATTTTCCTCATCCGTCCACGACCAGGGAGATTAGCTACAGTGCCATGGGTTGCAAACTTCTTGATAATGTTGCGCACTGTGGACAAAGGCAAATCTAGTTCTCTGGAGATGGACTTGTAACCTTGAGATTGTTGATATTTTGCCACAATTTTGGTTCTCAGGTCCTCAGACAGTTCTCGTCTCCTCTTTCTGTTGTCCATGCTTAGTGTGGCACAGACAGACACACAATGCAAAGGTTAAGTGAACGTCTCTCCTTTTTATCTGCTTTCAGGTGTGATTTCTTTATTGCCCACACCTGTTACTTGCCCCAGGTGAGTTTACAGGAGCATCACATGCTTGTAACATTCTTATTTATCCGCAGTTGTGAAAGGGTGCCAATACTTTTGTCCAGCCCATTTTTGGAGGTTTGTGTGACATTATGTCGAATTTGCTTTCTTTCCTCCCTTTTTTTTGTTTTGTCCCAATACACACAATAAAACATGTGTATAGCAAAACATGTGTTAATGCAATACGTTTCGTGAGAAATACATGATTTCCTGGAGAAATATCAAGGGTGCCAACAATTTCGGCCATGACTGTATATGATTATTTGATTTATTCATATTAGATGTATGAGCGCTACACCAATTTAAATATAATTTTCCACTATCCACTTATAAGTAATAAGTTGTGGGTGTCAGCAGCCATTATTCTTTGATTTGTTGTACACATCTATGTGCAGGAGGTTTATACCAAATAGTTTAATCTGGTGGAGGACCCTCCCATGTCACCATTTTTCTCTTGGTGTCAGAAAAAACTTGTCAGAAGTAATTCATGTTGATAGTAGAGGAACAAACCAGCAGACAGAAATGACACCTGGTGCTCTTAAATGAGACAAGTACACACTATAGAGGGATATGCTTTGTTCATATGTCATGTCTGAGGTTTAAAACCACTTTAAATGTAAGGCATGTTATAAAATGAACTAGACACTAAGGGGTTTATTTACTAAAGCTGGAGAGTCCAAAATCAGACTCCCTCCGGCATAGAAACCAATCAGCTTCCAGGTTTCATTGCCAAAGCTTCATTGAACAGCTGAGGTTAGAAGCTGATTGGTTTCTATGTAGAAGGGAGTCTGATTTTGGACTCTCCAGCTTTAGTAAATAAACCCCTAAAGGTTGTTTTACAAAGAGGTAGAGACTGTTTACTCCCAGTAAACGATAGTAACTAAGGTAAACCTGTGTTCATGCTTAATACTTGATCGTCAGAGAGATGTGAACAAGCCTATTCAACTAATAAATGTTAAAAAAAAGCTGAACCATTAAAAAACACACAAGTGTATAAAACAGAGATTTTAATCAGAAAGATGAGTCAAGATTATTCATCCCAACAAAAGATTATGTCTATAAATGATGGATTCCATCACACCTACTCCTTAATAAAAGAACTAATAGGACTTGATGTTTCAATCCATATGGTCAGTTTCCACTCTTGATTATGGCATTGGTGTGGTAAAAAGGGGGAGGGTAGGTACAGCGGGTAAAATAAGTATTGACCATGTCACAATTTTTCTTAGTAAATATATTTCTAACGGTGCTATTGACATGAAATGTTTACATGTCGTTAACAACCCATGCAATCCACACATACAAAGAAACCAAAACAAAAAACACGCTAACTAAAATTTATTTAATACTTCGTACAAAATCCTTTGTTGGTAATGCCAGCTTCAAGACACCTCCTTTATGAAGAAAACTAGTCGCATGCATTGCTCAGTTGTAATTTTGCCCCATTCTTCCACACAAACAGTCTTCAAATTGTGAAGGTTTTGTTAGCCTCTTCTATGAACTCTGATTTATAGTTCTCTCCATATATTTTCTATTGGATTCAATAGCAGCTTTATTTTCTTTCTTTGAAACCAATTGAATGTTTCCTTGGCTTTGCGTTTGGGATCATGGCCTTGTGAAATGTCTACCCTCCTTTCATCTTCATCATCCTGGTAGATGACAGATTTTTTTTTATAAATGTCTTGGTACATTTTTCCATTCATTCTTCCTTCAATGATATGACGTTTGTCAGGACCATATGCTGAAAAACAGCCCCACACCATGATGTTCCCACCTCCAAACTTCACTGTTGGTATGGTGTTTTTGGGGTGAGATGCAGTTCCATTTGACCTCCAGAACATAGTGTGTATTATGGCATCCAAAAAGAGTTCAATTTTGGTCTCATTGACCAGACTATATTCTCCCAGTATTTTGCAGGCTTGTCTAAATGTTGTGCGGCAAACTTTAAACGAGCTTCAACATGCTTTTTCTTCAGCAATAGTGTCTTGCATGCCGAGTGTGCATACAGGCCATGGTGGTTGAGTGCATTACTTGTTTTCTTAGAAAAACAATTGTACCTGCTAATTCCAGGTTTTTCTGAAGCTCTCCACAAGTGGTCTTTGGCTGCTGGACTACTTGTCTGATAATTCTTTTCACTCCACTGTCAGAAATGTTGGCAAGGTGCAACTGGTCCTGGCCAGTTTATGGTGAAATGATGTTCTTTCCACTTTTGGATTATGGCCCCAACAGTGCTCACTGGGACATTCAGAAGTTTAGAAATCCTTCTGTAATCAATGCCATCAGTATGCTTTGCAACAATAAGGTTGTAAGCAATTTCATGTCAATAGCACCTTTAGAGATATATTTACGGAGAAAAATGGTGACTTGATCAATACTAATTTTAACCGCTATATGTCATTGGATCATCAGATGGCCACCCTCCTTCACTGATCTTTCATTGTTTGCCCACTACATCTCTAGAAAGCTCAATGGTGATCCCTGGAGTCCCAGGTACACCCCTTCAGTTCTATGCCCTCCTGTACACTAACAGACATTAATAAAAACAAAGTGACAAATTATAGTAAAGGCAACTCCTTTATTTAAAAAAACAAAACAGATACCAATATCTGCAGCTAATGTACATTAGAGGGTGGTAGTGCCAAGCCCTCCATTGTAATCCTGAAATCATAAACAGGGAAAATGTACACTGAACATAATGTGCTGTAAGTCATGCAGTTACCTACCTTCTTCTTCTCATTAGATGAAGGCTCACTGCCTGAACACCGCCCTGGCTCTCCTCCACTGGGCCCACGTGCCCGACTAGTAGATTTAGCAAGACTGCTCTCCACCAATTCATCATCAAACTTCTTTCGCTTAATAAATCTATAAAAGAAAAAAAAAAAAAAAAAAGGCAAAAGTAAAGTAAACTTTACACAGAAAGAATTGGAGATAAATGTGGCATCATATACTTGTGGGATATCCAATTTGTAAAACACTCAAATTTTATTTTGATTATATTCTTACAGCAAAGATTATGTTATGATTTTGTGCTATAACAACACCATCAGACACAAATTCACAGTATGAAGTTGCAGCCTCCCATGCTGTCTGCAGCCCAGCCAGTAAATCAGATTGTGAGCCTACCCATGCCTGTACGATAATGCCCCACAGACTTGAATGTGTCTCCCGCGCAGAAGGCTATACCTATCAAAGGATGCAACAACCAGCAGGGCGAATACAGTTTAGGGGTTTTTCCTTTTTTTTTGTAGCTGAATTTGTTATTTAAAATTTGCAATATTCTATCTCCTCCACTAAAGGCCAACTCCGCTCTCTCCTGGCTCTCCTCCCTATCTATCCCAGCGCTCCTTCAGTGTAACCTATAAAGCTGCCACCTCCCCATCTCTGTTGGGGTCCCCAAAGGCTCTGTCCTCGGGCCCCTTCTCTTCTCCATCTACACCTCCTCCCTTGGTCAACTGATACACTCCCACGGCTTCAACTACCACCTCTACACCGATGACACGCAAATCTACCTCTCTACCCCTCGCCTCACCCCTTCAGTCTCCGTCCGAATCACCTGCCTACTGAACGACATATCAGACTGGATGTCACTCCACTTCCTTAAATTAAACCTTTCCAAAACTGAGCTCCTAGTTTTCTCCCCCCCCCCCCCCCCCCCCCCCCCCCCCCCCCCATCACGTCCCCCTTTCTTTCTCCCCCCCCCCCCCCCCCCACCAATATTGCCACCATCAGACCCACCCCACAAGCCAAAGTTCTAGGCGTCACTCTAGACTCCAATCTGTCCTTCCATCCCCATGTCCAATCGCTGGCAAATTCATGCAGGCTCCACCTCCACTTCCAAAATACGTTCGTTCCTAACCCCAGACACTACTAAACAACTCATTCACTCCCTTATTATCTCACGACTCGACTACTGTAACTCCCTCCTCCCCGGCTTACTTCATCACAGACTATCCCCGATTTAGTCTATCCTGAACTCAGTGGCCAGACTCATCCACCTTACCAACCGCTCCATATCCGCCACCCCCCCCTCTGCCAATCCCTCCACTGGCTTCCGATTGCCCAACGCATAAAATTCAAACTACTAACATTGACATACAAAGCCATTCATAACGCTGCCCCAAACTACCTCACTGACCTGATACCCAAATACCACCCAACCCGTACTCTTCGCTCCTCACAAGACCTCCTACTCTCCAGTTCCCTGGTCTCCTCTTCCCATTCCCGACTCCAGGACTTCTCCAGGTCTTCCCCCATCCTCTGGAACTCACTACCCCAATCCATCAGACTGTCACCTACCCTCCTCACCTTTAGGTGCACCCTGAAAACCCATCTCTTCAGGGAAGCCTACCCCGTCCTCACCTAACAGCCAATCTCTTTCACTCCTCCTACCACTCCATCCCCCACAGCCACTTCCTCCTGTACCACTATCCCCTCCCTCCTAGATTGTAAGCTCCAAGGAGCAGGGCCCTCGAACCCTTCCTGTATTGTATTGTTACTGTATTGTCTCATGTTCTGTCCCCCACTATAATGTACAGCGCTGAGCAAACTTTTTGGCGCTATATAAATACTGTATAATAATAACCTGGCCACCTTCGTATGAGGACAAAGGTGGTTAAATAGATGCAACCAGCCTCTGTTTCCCAGTGCTTTCCTGTCCTTCTTATGCTCACAACAGAAATATTCTACTTTACCAAGGTAGTACTTGGGACCCATAAAGCATGTAAGCAGCTACAAAGTCAAGTATGTGCAAAACTATATAAAACTGGACATAGCCTCTTCATCAGTCCTAACCATTGGCCAAAAGTTGCCACCTACAGTGGTTACTGCCTACAATATGGTATGGAAATTCGGTTTCGGGTATCAAAAAGATGAGATGAAGTATTATTTTACCAGTAATGAGATTTCCACAACACTTTTAGGCCTGCCCTTACAAACTGACTTCACCCAGCCATGTTATTTTTAAGCCCCTCCTACCTTGTTTGCTTGGTTATCCTAGAAATATGTACTCTCATGTCTAGCAAATCCAGCATTGTCCTGTTGCTGCTTGTCACCACACTTTAAGTCCCACGCTGCTATCATCTTACATCATTAGGAGCCGGCTGACTCTCGTGTTCTTGCAGCTGGGCCCCTGATGATGTGCAGTGCTGTATGCACTGTAGAATACCTCAAGGTCTCCTGGGTTGTGTGACATCAGTACTCCAGAAGGCTGTAAAAAGGTATTTAAATAAAATAAATGTCTGACTGTGAGAAGAGGGGGAAGGAATGTAATGAGGGAAAGTGAGTGGGTTTAACACTTTAAAATGTTAGTTCACTTTAACAAAAAAAATATAAAGATGAACACTGTACACCTCAATGTGTCCCCCACTGTACTTACCTCAAGGGATGCCAAGCTGTCCATGCTCACGCAGCCCAGTCCAGCAGTCTGGGAGTTAGAAATCCCTGTTTTTTTTCTCCTTCTTCTCTGTGCAGTGCTTCTGGGATGGATCAGAGCAGTGCTCTGTGCAGACACTGACTGATCAAAATCGCTCTGATCTGCCCCAAAGTACTATACAGAGAAGAGGGAGAACAGCAGGGATTTCATCTCAGACTGCTGGACTGGCTGTGTGGGCACTGACAACTCAGCATCACCAGAGGTAAGTACAACAGGGACCAAGGGGAAGGGTGTACAAAAATGTTAGTTCACCTTTACATTTTTTTTTTCTGTAAAGTGAAGACTTTAAGGGTCAGTTCAAACCAGAACGCCATGTGGGAAAGGTGTGTCCTGTGCGTGTTTCTCGCACCACGTTCAAATTGCACTACCTTTCTGTTCTGCTGCAGGTGCCAATCCTTTAATAGCACCCCAAACGCAGATTGAAAATGCAGTGTGTTTGTGGGCACCAGATCGCAGGATACCACAGTACCAAGCGATTTGGTGTGGTGCATTTTTCAAGAGTAGTGCATGCACTACTTTTTGTGCTTTCCCATGTGATTTGCAGCCCATCCAAATGAATGGGCTGCAAAACTGCACTACAGACCATGTTCCTGTGTGATTCTGGTGTGAACCGGCCCTAAAGCTCAGCTCCTGGATTAAAGCAGAAATCTGGGAAAACATTTTCTTTGTCCCATGCTGTGGGGCTGTGCCTGCACTGCATTTGTTAAAGTGGTAGTAAACACTGGATTTTTATTTTAACCTACAGGTTAACTTCTATTAAAGCTTACCTGTAGGTTAAATGAATATCTCCTAAGCAAATGCGCTGTTTAGAAGATATTCTTTTGGTTGGCAGCCAGTGATGAAACCGCTGGAGGGCTTTGTCTTAAGTTTCCCCCCTGCAAGGTAGTTCATAATGTGCTAGTATGCATCACATACTAGCACATTATGAAATATTTATCTTAAAGCGAATCCCTCCACCGGCACGCTGTCACCGCTGACACAGGGCTTCCATCTTCACTCGGTTTTCCTTCTGGGTTTGTGAGCTCTGGGCATGGTACAGAGCTCTGAAGCAATGGCACAGGGTTCTTCAGAGTGCATGTGCCGTTGATGTCACTGGCTGCTGCTTGCTGGAATATCTACTAAACGGTGCACCTTTAAAGGATAAATTCACCTTTGGGAACATGTTACACCAGTTTTTAGGGTGGAACATGTAACATGTTCCCATAGCTGCCGTCCCTCCCCCCTCTGACAGTACGGGGAGACTTCTCCCCGTACTATCAGTCAAATTTGAAAACAGCGCGGTTGTGCTCCGCCCACATGGTCGCATCATTCATTTATGGACTTCTGTGAATGAATGAATTGAAAGTCCCGACAGCCTTACCAGCTGTCAGCTTGTAGTTTTTAATGAACTACCACAGTGCTGTGGAGCACCGTGGTAGTTCATTGAAGCTTCCTGTCAAAATATCTTCTTGCCCGTACATCCCGTACAGCAAGCAGATATTGTGACAGGTCTGCAGGAGACCTGCATGGCATCAGCTATTTACTGATTGCTGGTGCAATGCTTTCTAAGCTCCTGTAGACAAAAATAATAAAAATGCACATTTTTTTTACCTGCAAAAACTGTGCATTTATTATTTTTGTCTACAAGATGAACTTATCCTTTAAGAGATAATCATTTTACTTACAGGTATGCTTTATTATAAGCTTACCTGTAGGCAAAAATGGCACAAAAGAGTTTACTACCACTTTACCTGCTAATTTTTGTCTAGGGTGAGAAGAGCAAAGATAAACTTACCGAATCCGTCAATCCTCCCAGTGCAAAAAGACAAGTCCCTGCAGCTCTTGCCCTCTCCCCCAGTCCAGCGGACTGTTCTTGACATCATCACACCCATAGACTAGTTATGGATGTGAGACCGGCAGGAACAGTCCATCGTTGAACAAGCGGGTGGGTACATAGTATCGAAGGATCAGGAGTACTAATGCTGCATTCCCAGAGTTCTGCCTTAAAGTAACCCCCTCCAACCCCTACCTTAATCCCTGGGTGTGTGATCATCCTTCTCCTGTCTACTGGGGTCCTTCTTCTGGGTGTCCATGTCCCTGCCTGTGTGACATGGATAATTCCCATGGACTGTCCACTGGATGAGTCCTCTCAGAATTCAGAAGGCCATGGACATCTGCCTGTGGGGGAGGGTAAAGGGGCCGAGATGGAAAGGGTTAATCTGTGGTTCTGGATTAGAGGTCCTCAGAGGGGGAACTGGTGTCAGTGAGGGATCTGAAGGGAGTGACTATAATGTGCTTCAACGGATGAGAAAATCTAACCAGCTGTCGGGGGGGGGGGGGGGGGTATGGAGATAGAGTTTGCCCAGAGTTGTTCTTTAGGACCCCACCTGGAAAGAAACATCTGCCATCTATAAAGCACTGGGGAACACAGGCTGGCCTGTCTGTATACAGAATGATGTAGGCTGCCATTGCTGACCCCTGCCTATCATGGCTTCACAGCCGTCCAGGACAATGGCCTGAACAGGAGATAGAAGGATCCTGCCAGTCACAGGGAAGACAAGCAGCATTTGGAGGAGGGTGAGCGATGGCTGGCCAGTCAGAAAGCTAGGAAGATAGCCTGTGTGTTCGGCTCCCACCACTCGCACACTACCTGCACCCCACAGCAGTGCCAGGCTTGGTCTCCATACAATAAGACTGGCCTGGTGTCACACGGGGCGGGACATCACCTGGACGAGCTCCTCCTCTTGGGGATGAGGCCGGACCCCTGGGAGAGGCTCCTCTTGTGTCCGGCAGACGAGTCCTCATCCTCAGAGCGGCTGGCCGAGGCCAGAAGAGAATCCATCCCCTCCGAATGGCCCTGTGTACCTTCCCAACAAACCCCCCCCCTCCGGTCAGTCCACCATCATTCCAGTCCTCCTCTTCTCCGCCGTCTATACAAGCCTCCTTATCGAGCGCGACATCACTTCCGGGGAAAGAGAGGCTGCTTCCGGGAGCGTGGACACTAGAGAGCGCAGGCGTCTTCGGCCCCGGGAAGCCATATTAGCGTAGTCTCGTACTTAGGCGACATTTCACGCCACACATTATGTAGAAAAATGCATACGCAGCAAAGAGAATTTGCGTTCTTTTTTTATGTGAGTTGCGTTGCATTTATATGCATGCTCTCTTCACAAACGTGTGTTTTAATGTACATCAGTTTATTTTTGCTGTGTCCCATTGGAGAGATTTGCCTTCACTTCCTGCTCCATAGCCGTAACAGGAAGTGAGAGGAAATCCCTGCACATTAAGGGAATCATTTGAGGACCTTTAATCATAAAAATGTTCAAATAAATATCACATGTGACTAAGTAAATATGAACACACTAAATATAATTAATAAATGATTACACAAAGTGCCACAATGTGCTCCAAATACAAGTGTACAATTAATAAGTGATCAACGGTCCTGATATATACTTCAGGACCTGTACCTATTCATTTATTAATTATAGTGTGTGTTAGTATTTAATTAGTCACGTGATATTTATTTGAACATTTTTATGATTTGAGGTTGGGGGAATACTATAGCAGCGCTGCACTATATGGTTAGTTTTGCTCACTGCATAAGGTATCAGTTTAGAGTGCTAGCGGCTTTCATTTCTAGGTACTCCAGTTTAGTGCAGGAGGAATTTGTATCATTTAACTCATATGAGGACTTTCCAGTCGCCAGAACTGTCCCCATTGGAAGATTTCCTCTTTATTACTTTTCTGGGGAAAAAACAGAAGTTGGGACTATTTTTTAACTTTCACTTTTGATGATAATGGTAAACAGGACAAATAGAGAGAGGGTGAAACTCTTTAATGGGTGCATAGACAGCAATAAAACCTGTCAGATGTTCTAATCCCTCTCCACTCTGTCCAAAGCAACAACAAAAAGTTTTACCGTTAGTTGTACTTTTAAAAAGCATGTGTCACAGGGTTGTCAACCCCTGGTGACTTTTTTTTTTCTTTTTGCTGTCAGAGCACGTTTTTTAGTGACACCCTGAAATATGACAAAAACACCTGTAGCACCCTCTTAGTTCAGCTAGGGGAAGCTAGATGCTAATGGTTAACCTCTTGGCGCCGGCTGAACGCAAATGTGCGGCCTCCCGGCGTCTGGGCCTAGACGAAAAGTGACCGTACATTTGCGTTCTATAAAAAAAAAAGCATGTGCTGAGAGCGCGCGCCCCTGCACGCTCCCAGCACACATGGTCGGTACTCACGGAAAGGTCCCAATCTCCTCTTGCAATCAGGGCCTTTCCCAATCATGTGACTGCTATGACAGTGAATCATGGCAGTCACATAACCCTAAAACCCCACCCACCTCCTGGCTTCTGGAACCCTTAAAGGGCTGGTAAGCACCAGAGTCAAGGGGTTGAACAGGAGCTGTTAGTGGCTCAGATGTAATAGCCAATGGGGTCAAATTGTGGTCAGGCCTGTGAGATTCTGCAGGGCAGCCCCTCAGGAATTTCCGTCTGCTCTGAGGCTTTTGGGGGCAGTGGGAGGATCTGAGGAGTGGCTGGTTGCATTCTTGAGGGACCTCAGCCAATCCCCAACAGAAGGCTTTGCAAGGGGCTAGGACCCCCTAAAAGTGTTAGAGTCTGCTCAGTAGGAGGAGTGTGGTGGTGGAAGAGAGCTGAAGGAGGATGTGAGGCTGGAGGAGGAAAGGAGGAAAACTGGGGACTCACTGGCTTCCTGAGCAAGGACCACCTGTATGGCAGGGAAGGAGCAGCCCAGCTGATAGGACTGGTGGCAACAGCCAACCGACAAGCAGTACAGGAGAGGATCTGAGTGAGTACAGCTGCATCCCCATAGGCTGATAAGGGGAAGGAGCACTCTGGTGGGAAACCAGATTAGCCCCCAACTAGTGACTTTTCATCACAATTAAAGGAACAGGAGCCAGATCCCTTGCTGAGGAAGAAAGTCTCCAAATTGCTGGGTGAAGAGGACTTCATCTAGGGTCTGGGGTAGTACAACTAGGAGATGCTGGCTTGCACTCCAAGAGAGACTGTGTTGCAGAAAAAGGAGAAGCTTTGAATAGTTCAGGAAGTTGTACTCAGTTATCTGTTCCCTTGGGCATCCTATACCCCTTACCCTATCTAAGTTCTGGAAAGCTTGCGTGCAAAATGCTGAATGACTGGCTGTGCAGGATTATCGGGGACCCAATTCATCAGCAATCCATAAGGGGGTAGTGCTACATGTGGGGGCTCAGAAATCTGGGATTCGCCTATTTGTGCCTGGTTTTTCCTGAGTGCAAGAGGCCTGCTGTACTGGTCGGAGCATGGGCCAGATGTGGATACTGCGGAGAGCCTCTGAACCACCTTCTGCCAAGCGATCTGGCACATCATAGCTACATCGTGGATTTGCAGATGGGCCTCTGCACAGAGAAACCAGAAAGTCGGAGTATGTCCAGAATCTGCTATGCCACGCAGTCCCAGGATCGTGACTCCCCCGTCACTGTTACGGACCCACACAGCATAGAAGGGTCACACACTGTTATTCCCTGCTTGCCAGAAGACGCTGGAGGGCTGGAAGCTGTAATTGCTGTTCAGCAGGAATCGATAAACGCATTGGAACAGCCAGCTTTGCTTACCTGCCCTGACCTTTCTATTTGGGAGAAGCCTAACTGCAGGGATGACCAGTCCTCAGGTGAGCCGGTGAAATGTGATAGTGGCAGGAAGTTAGATTAGGAATTGTCCATGCTGCTAGCAAGGTTTGGGCCGCTGGAGATAGAACAGGAGGGATGGACCTCTGAGGAAACAGAAGAGGAATGGGACTGGGGAGATGCTACAGTTAAACTGGATTTACAGACGGGATTGTGAGAACCCTCATACACCCCAAACTCTGCTGGAAGATCCTGCCAGTCGGAGCCAGTCAGGATTTCATCCCATCCCCCACCATCTAAGCCTTCTACTTCACCCTGGTCGAGGACCAGGACCAAAGACACTGATGTGCAGGAGTGGGTCATTCGTTCACCGCAATCCTGTGTACAGCTTGGGTTGGGGGACAAGGAACCTGCCCCCCTTTTCCCGGCTGCAACAGGAGATACAGACGTGAGTAGCGGTAGAATGGGGCCTGGATTACCCCTACGTCCCTCAAAACATTATGGACACAATGGGAGGAAGACGTGATCTGGGACCACATACATGTCCCCAACACCTGAAAGGGCCACACATGGAGGAAGCCTGGGCCCGCTTTCAGAATATCAAAAGAGAATGGAGCAAGGGCTGTGCAATTCATAAAGATTGGGTGGTTGTTGTGAAAGAGGGACAGCCAAGCTGCAGCTATTCTGTGGCCACCAGGAGACCCGATGGCTCCATAGTCAGACAGCCCAGCCCCTAGAAGTACTGTTAGGTTTTCAGTCCAGTAGGCTGTTCTATTTCATACGGACTATGCTGGGTTCTTTCGTATTTTTTTTCCAAGACAAGCTGGTCTGGGTTTGTTTTTTTTTTCTGCAAAGAGACTGTTGGCTCCATGCACACTGGGCATTTTAATAACGCGGGTATCATTAGCTGTGTAAAGTCATGTTAAAAAAACATGAGTTTTTCAGCGTTTTTGCATTATCGTTTTTTGCATTTGCATTTTTTTAGCGTTTTATTCTTTACCCCAAAAAAAGTTTTTCTGTTGCTCAAAAAAAGTTAAAAAGCGCTGGGTAGCCGTGTTTTGCTGCATTTTTCAACGTTAGAGTGTTTTTACAGCTAAAAACTCCTCTAAAAACTCACTACTTCTGGGTGTTTTTCCAGCCAAAAAACACCCCTGTCAAAAAACACGGATTACAGCCTATGTGTGCATGGACACACAAGATAACATGCTGGGGGTTTACTGGCTGTAGAAAAAAATGTCAAAAGACAAAAACAGCAGCTGTAAAAAACATCCAGTGTGCATGAAGATTAAGCATTCCCTTTGTTTTGCTTTGGAGGGGTTTCTCCTCAACAAGGACTCAAAAGCAAAAAAAAAAAACAACAATTGTGGTTCTCATTTGTTGCAAATGTGCCTTATAATCTACATAGACAGTCAGAGATAGGACTGTGCTGATTTCAAATGGTTTTTCCTTTGTTGCTTTGTTTACTGTTTTACAGGTCCCAGGATGGCTGTCTTCCCTGCATCTGAAGAACACAGAATTTATGTTGCTGATGAAGGGCCTCCTTCAAGGAGGGGGTACTTCATCATTATTACTTCATCATTATGCTGTTTGTTGGTTTACCCATATGATTATGGTACTGCGTTCATTGTTCCTGCTGCTTGTATATATCCAAAGTCTCTATTTTTATACTAACAATTTCTTTACATTATGTATGCATATTTCAATCTCCTTTCCCAGTTAATGTACCTTTTTCCCGTCCCATTTAATTTTATATAGGATGCCCTGCTCCTGGGCTCAGGAGCTATTTTTGTTCTCTTTTGCCCCCCAGCCAGGCTGTTTTTTTTTAGCAAGGGGGTGAATGTGGGTAGTTCTGCTAGGGGGAGCTAGATCCTAATGGCTACACAGGAGCTGTTAGCAGCTCAAGTTGTATAGCCAGTGGGGTCAAATTGTGGACAGGCTGAGAGACTCTGCAGGCCTGATCCCCTGGAGTTTCCCCCTGCTCTAAGGTTTTCAGAGGAGGAGGGCCTTGGATTTAGTAGGTGGATCTGAGGAGCAGCTGGTTGCATGCTTGAGGGACTTCAGCCAATCCCCAACAAAAGGCTTGGCAAGGGGCTGGGACTCCCTTAAAAGTGTTAGAGTCTACTCAGTAGGAGCAGTGTGGTGGTGGAAGAGACAGGGAGCTGAAGGAAGATGTGAGGCTGGAGGAGGAAGGCTGCCAGGAGGCTTTGTGAGATGGGTCCGGC